TGGGCTGGGGGCTGCCGGTCGCGGGCGGAGCGGTGTGGCTGCAGACCTGGGGGTGCTAGCAGGCCTCTGGGCAGGGCGGGCGCGGGCGGGCTGCAGGGCCTTTGCCTCTGGGCACAGGAAGTGCGGAGCAGACCTGGGCCGCCCCTGAGACGCAGGCGGTGAGCGGGACTGTGACCCGGGAGCCCAGTGCAGACGGCCCGCAGGGGTCCAGACCCACCGACCGCGACCGCTGGCCGGGACTGGCAGCCTGGCGAGCGGCGCAGGGGCTTGGGACTGGGTCCTGCCCCTGGAGCAGCGCTGGGCACAGGTACAGCCTGCAGGCCTGGAGCAGCGCTGGGCACTGGTATAGCCTGTAGCTCACTGCAGAGCTCACTGCAGAGGCCAGAGCAGAGTTAGGAGCCCCCGGGAGCCCCAGCACAGGTGCGCTTGGGAAAGGCAGGCTTTGAAGCAGGCAGTCTGTGCTAGAGTAAGTGAAGGGTGCTAGCGGCTACAGCTCTACTGAGGCACCACCCCGCAGCGTGCTGAGCAACTGGCCAAGGTCACATCTGCTTATGGAAATACCTGTGAAACACACCCTTTACTCTTTTTCTTTTGGCTGGAGGGTGCAAGTGCTTGCCAGAAATGGAGGAAAGAAAGCAGCTGCCCTGGGACAGGATTATGCCGGAGTCCCTTCTCCATTCCTCTTGCTGTTTGGGCGCATGTGCATGCCCGGTGTGTTTCTAAGCACCAGGTCCAGGAGTCGAACTGCAAGGTAGCCATGGTGGGATCTGGCTGCCTTAGCCCTGAGGCCACAGAGCTGGCCCTGTTTATTGGTTATTTAATCTTTTTTATTTTTCTTCTTCATGTTTTTACAAGAGGGCCTGTGCACTCACTGGAGAGAGACAGGGAAAGTGAGAAATGGCTCCCCCGTGGCCACACTGCAGTCCCTCTTCCCTTCTCTATTCTCCTCCTGGGATTTTTGGCATGCACACATATACACCTGGCATAGTTTTCTGGGATTCACAGTCGGCCACGAGGGAGTCCAGCTACCTTAACCATCACGCCACCTGTTGGTCTCCTATTTTCTTGTATTAAAAGAAGTTTTAAAAAATTTCTTTTGAGAGGCAGACACAAACACAGGCAGCACTCCCAGCAGGGTCTTGCCAGCCTGAGCCAGCAGCAGTCCTGGGTATCAACCTGCAGTGTACTCAGAGAGGTCTCAATGCAGACACCGAGCCTCCCCGTGGGCCAGCCTGAGCCAGCAGCAGTCCTGGGTACTGACCTGCAGTGTACTCGGGGAGGTCTCAGTGCAGACCCCGAGCCTCCCTGTGGGCCAGCCTAAGCCAGCTGTAGTCCTGGGTACCAACCTGCAGTGTACTCAGGGAGGTTTCAGTGCAGACCCCGAGCCTCCCCTGTGGGCCAGCCTGAGCCAGCAGCAGTCCTGGGTACCGACCTGCAGTGTACTCAAGGAGGTCTCAGTGCAGACCCCGAGCCTCCCCGTGGGCCAGCCTGAGCCAGCACCAGTCCTAGGTACCGACCTGCAGTGTACTCAGGGAGGTCTCAGTGCAGACCCCGAGCCTCCCTGTGGGCCAGCCTCACAGCTACTTTCTGCCCTGTTACCATCTGGCACCTTTTTTTTTTTTTTTAGAGAGATTTTTGTTAAAGGGTGCTTGCGCTTTCCAGAGAGACAGAAAGACAGAAAGAAAACTAGAAATCACCCCCTGGGAGGATTGCCACACTGCAGTCCCTTCTCCTCCAGTTTCCTCTTGGGATTTTGGGCCGGCATACACACATGCACATACACCTGCCATGAGTTTTAAGCCGCTAGTCCGTGACTCAAACCATGGTCCGCTGCACGGGAGTCCAGTGATGTAACCATTATACTAACTGCTGGTTCCCAGTACACATTTTTTTATAGTAAGTTGACAAATAGGATTGTTGTCATATTCCAGAACTGAATAATTTTTAAACAAGAATTTCAAGTTGATTGTCCAAAGATGCTTTGCTTGGATTTTTCATCTGCTTAACTAAAACTAGAAACATTATGTTTCTCTCATAAAAAAACATATATATTCTCCATAGTTTTTCACTTGCTCCTAATTTGTATTTGAGGTCATATCACATATGTGCTTAGCCATGAGATAGTGCCAGGGTTTTGGACTTTTCTTTTTTAATTCTTCAGAGGGCATGTACATTTGCCTGAGAGAGACAGTGGGAGCGGGTACTATAAAGCACCCCTCATGGGGAATTGTCATGCCGCCATCCCTTCTCCATCTCTCCCTCGGGATTTCCAGGATTTGGGGCACGTTCGCATAGCCTGGTTTTCAAGCTGCCGAGTCCAGGACTTGAACCACGCCATCAGCATTATGAGATCCAGCCCTTAACCACTAAACCACTGCTGTCCCAGAGAGATTTTTCTAAAATAAAGAAAAAGATGGATGCCTGTTTGTGTCCGAGGTATGTTCGCAGTGAAACCAGGTGGTGACGTGGTCTGGGGACATGCCTGGGTTCTGCTGCAGCACGATCAGACCCGCAGAGGGAGGGAAGAGCAAGAATGCTAAGACTCCAGTGCTGCCGTGCTTCGGTTTCCATGGACACACAGTCCCGGAGTGCCTGAGCTCTGGCCTGGTCGTTCACTTTACACAGGACTGCGTGGCCCCGAAGCCTGCATGTCTCTGTGGTGTGTCATTCGTGCCTGTGACTCAGCAGGGGCACAGGGGACACGGGCCAGTGTGACGGTGATTTCCTAACCCATCTCCGGGCAGAGTCACCGACGGCTTTTCTGTTTGATAAGCTAAGAAGTTATGCTGGCCAGGAAGCGAGACAGTTAGGGAATATTGCTGTAACGCTGAGAAGTAGAGTTCTCATTCTCAGGGTGAGGGGACTAGGCAGTGGGCAGTGGCTCTAAGTTACCTTGGCCCTGACAGTGCTGCCGTCGGCCTGCGTTCTTCCTCGCAGGGCTGAGGGACTGAGGACGGCTTTTCGTGGCGTGTACGGGTACCCTATGTTACTAGGGCCCTGCAAAATTAGACTCTAGGTAAAGGATATTCTTGAAGAGGGTTTTTTTTTTTTAATTTTTTTTAACATCACTAGAGACCACGTGTGCTGAGAGAAAGAACACGTGTGCACACAAACCGCAAGGAAGTGCAGTCATGCCACAACCCTTCTCCAGCTTTCTCCATCCTGTCAGGATTTGGGGCACGCCCTCACATACTCCTGGTGTGCTTTCTGAGCCACCAGGGCTAGGCTTTGAATCGTGTTGGTCGTGCGGGACTGCCCCTGTGCACAGGGCTGCCTGTGAAGGGGACTCGCAGGGGAAGATGGGGGCCGCTCTCCAGGGCTGCTTTCATTTACGGGAGAAGCTAACCCTGTAGGGAGCTCTGAGTCTCCCTGGCCTCTGTTACTGACTCGGATGGAGGTGCCGACTGTTCTCACCAAGGCCCTCCTTATGCCTGGGTCCCTGGGGATTAAAGTGTTGTCAACTCTCTTGGTTACGTGCTTCTTTCCCAAGGGTCCCCAAGCCCCCGCCACAGACCAGCCTGTGCCCTGTTAGGAACCGGCCACACAGAAGGAGGTGAACTGGGGCGAGGGCGCGAGCTTCACCTGCCTTCGCAGCCAGCCCCATGCACATCTGCCTGGGCTCCGTGTCCCGGCTGAGCCGCTAGGCCTTCGACTCTGGGAGCAGGAATCCGGTAGTGACCCGTGCAGGACAGGGACCAGGCCGTGTCCCCCGTGAGACCAGTGCTTGCTGCTCTGAGGGCTGGGACGGCGATGCTGGCAGGCGGGAGGCTGAATGCACAGAGGCCGCACTGCGCCAGTCTCTGGCAGGCCCTGTCAGTGAGTGGCAGGGGGGGGCCTTCAGTCTGCGTGTGGCTGCCCGCGATTTTATCTACTGTTTCCTTCCACACCTTTCCCCACACTGCACCCTTGCCTCAGTCACAGTTTTGGTAAGCCCGCAACTAACCCTAGCCAGGATGAGTTAAAGACAAATGTCACTAGAAAGCTGCTTTGAAAAGGGGAAAAGATGGGGCTGGCAGGTGGTATGGTGGTTAGGGGCGCTGGACTCCCACGTGGCTGTCCACGGTTCAAGTCCCAGACCTAGTAGCTTGCTTTCTCATTCCTCGCTCTCTCTCTCTCTAATCAAATTAAAAAGTAAGTAAAGAAATAAATAAAGTTACATAAAGTGATTTTTTAAAGAATTATTTTATTTAACTTTATTTTATTTGCTTATTTAATTTGGCGAGAGAGAGGAAGTGAGAAAGCAAGGTCTGGTACTCGAATTGTGGTCGCTCACGTGGGAGTCCAGCGCCCTTAACTACCACACCACCTGCCAGCCCCTCATTAAGTGATATTTAAAAAAAAGAAAGAAAGAAAAGGGGAAAAGGAAGACCCAGTGGTGGGACAGCAGAAGACTGAGACTGCCCAAAGAGAAAGCTGCATGGAAGAGAAAATATCAAGGGTCTGCCTTAAATTACGGGTTTGTGGCAGTAGGTGATGCACATCCCCGAGCATGCTCTGCATACTCCGTGGCGACCAGCTACTTAGTAGAGTGTGACACCCTCCAAACTGCTTCACCGTGTGGAGACCAAGCGTCCTGCGTTAAAAACAAGATTTTTATTTTTAAGAGAGATTTTTGCTATAGGGTATATGCACTTGTTGGAGAGACAGGGAGAGACAGACAAACTGAGAAACCACTCCCTGGGGGGATGACCAGGTCACAATCCCTTCTCCTCTCGAGATCCTGGGCATGCATGCACAAGCGCGCACATGCCCAGTGTGAGTTTCAAGCCTCTGGGTCTGGGACGCAGGAAGCAGTCAGCCATGTCGAGTCCAGCAAGTAACCATTACGTCATTTCCTGGTCCCTAAAGACAAAACTTTGGAGTTTTTCAAAAGAAAACTGGGAACGTGAGCAGAAGCAGTGACCGAAGTCCACCACTTCCTCGATGTGTCTGCCCTGAGAGCAGCACTCGCGGCTGACCACGTCGCTAAGCTAAGGAGCCCTGCACTGTTGGAGAGCCACCCCGCCTGCTGCTGAGGACAGCTGTTGTGACCTTCTCGGAGAGAGGCTGCAGTTAAAGATGACACGCGTCCCCCTTCGGTTGGTGCCATAACTAGACGAGCTGACGCGGTAGCAGAGGGCACTGAGGCCCAGCGTGGGGAGGGCTGACACCTCACAGTGGTGTGCGGCCCAGAGGGCACCAAGGCCCGGCGTGGGGAGGGCTGACATGTCAGGGAGCGTGACCCAGAGGGCACCGAGGCCCGGAGTGGGGTGCGCTGACACCTTATAGTGGTGTGCGGCCCAGAGGGCAACGAGGCCCGGCGTGGGGAGGGCCGACACATCGTGGTGGAGCGCAGCCCAGAGGGCACTGAGGCCCAGAGTGGAGAGGGCTGACTTGTCATGGTGGTGTGCAGCCCAGAGGGCACCAAGACCCGGCGTGGGGAGGACTGACATGTCACAGAGCGTGGCCCAGAGGGCACCAAGGCCCGGCGTGGGGTGGGCTGACACGTCATGGTGGAGCGCGGCCCAGGTGGATGCGTCCACGGATGCTGACGACAGGCGAAGTGCTCGTTGAGGGTGGTCCGTTTTCAGGAGAGTGTGCAGGAGGGTATGCCGTGTGCGCCTATGTGCTGGCTGACACCGTGGCTGCACAGGTGTTCAGCTGTCTGTGATTGCATCAGGAAACCTGAATTGTTGTTTCGTGTCTCGATGTGCATGGACGCGACTGGATGGCTTTCTGGTTTCCTTGTTCAGGTCAGACCGCTTCCGAATGGGTGTGTACATCTGTCATGGGTAGAGAAAGCTGGACAGCTGGAAAATGTCACCTGAACTCAAGTTTTACAGGGTTAGGATTGAGACTGTCGGCACGTTCAAGTACACGTGTTAACGCGACGCCTGCCTGTGTAGCTCTGAGGAGAGGGATGCACAGCACACACGTTCTCACCTGTCTTTTCTTCTTAAGAATTATTTTATTCAACTTTATTTATATTTTCTTTCTTTATTTATTTTAATTTGACCAGAGAAGGACAGAGTGAGAGAGAGAGGGAAAATGAGAAAGCAAGCTATTGGGTCCAGGATTCGAACCGTGGTTGGCCATGTATGGGTCCAGTGGCCTTAACCACCATGCTGCCTGCTGGCCCCACACGACTTCTCTTAGACACAAATGAGATGGCTTCTCAAGATCTCTGGCTTTTGAGTTATGAGAACCACTCCAGAGATTTCTTTTAGAAAAGTCGTCACTGGGACCAGCAGGAAGCGTAGAAGTCAAGGTGCTAGACTCCCACAAGGTTGCCTGTGGTTCAAGTCTTGGATCCAGCAGCTTGAAACTCACTCTGGGTGCATGTGCATGTCTAAAATCTGAAAAGGAGAATGGAGGAGCAGGTATTGAGGCATGGCCTTTCTCCCTGGGGTCTGATTTCTCCAGTTCTGTCTCTGTCTCTGCCTCAGGCAAGCACAGACACACTGTAGCAAAAAATTTCTCAAAAAACCCACCACTGGCAGCACTCATCGGTTACACAGGAGGAGCTGCAGAACTCGTTTACTTTTGTGACATTCACCCGTTTATTCAACCCACTCAGTGAACTCAGTCTGCCGCTTCAAGGGAGAGTGAGAACTGTGTTCAAATGGGCCGATAAAGTGGCTGCGTTCACAGCCAAACTGTGGGGGTAACAAGGGAACACTGGAGTTTCTGACGCGTTTCAGACATCAGCAGAGACTTCGAAAGAGATGGAAGGTTGGATCTGTGAGTAAGCCAGGTGAGTCGGCTTTTCGTCCACCCAGGAGGAGGATCAGCTGCTTACGGTCACGTGATGGTGGCCTTGAAAGTGTGTGTCTTCAGTAGAGTAAAGGCAGCATGTCCTGACATGGCCACAGTGGCATTGTTAAAATCAAAGACATTGATTTCTTTTAAAATAAAGAAGTAAAAAGGTGGTCAGTTCTAGTGCAAAGTGAACTCTTTGCACATAGACTCTTAACTAAAATTATTTAAATTTTTCAATAGTTTTTAAAGGAATTATTGAATCCTATTATTATTATTTTAGAGTTTGCATAGGGCATGTGCCTTGACAGAGAGAGAAAGGCGCAGTGATGAGGACCTACGTGGGATTCTATTTTTAGTCACAGTATGAGCTGGTTGTTCCTTTGGCTTTAAAATGTTTATTTTTATTTATTTTTTCTTTTTGGAGAGGTTTTTTTTCACTACAGGGCACGTGCGCTTGCCAGAGAGAGAGAGACAGAGAGACAGAAAGGGAGAAATCACCCCCCAGGGGGCAAAAACCTCACCAAAAAAAAAAACAACCCACTTACAATCTGTTGTGGAAGCAATTTCAACATGTTACATTGTTGTTAACTGTTTCGCCAAATAGGTATGTGTAACCATATTGTATAATAGACCCCTCATAACAGATTTTCTAGCCTTTGATTAAGACTTCCTGAAGTCTCCTCTTCCCTATTTTCAGGTAAAAGTGATATGTCTTTTTTTTTTTTTGAGATGTTTTTGCTATGGGGCGCGTGCGCTCGCCAGACAGAGAGAGACAGAGAGACAGAAAGTGAGAAATCACCCCCCAGGGGGGATGGCCACGCCGCAATCCCTTCTCTTCCATTCTCCTCTCGGGATCTTGGGCACGCACGCACACGCGCCCGG